TTAGAATCTTTACCATCATTTTCTTAATTGCATTCCTTCCGAAGGTAAGCAAAGACTGCCTGGAAACACGAAACCCTCACCCAAGGACTGGGGGAGAGGGACAGAGGCAGTGAGGGCAGTCAGAAATGGCGATCGTGGCTTTGAAGGATGTGGGAAGACAGTCCCAACCCTGAACCAGCACTGAACTGGGGAGGTGATGGGCTGGGGCAACTCTAGAATTTCTCAAAATGTCTCTAAACTACTGTAAGATTTTAACGCCCTCTAGGCAGCTCCAAACCATTGTATACCTCTTCTAAATTGCTCCAGAAGTACTTTAATTAGCTCTGAAGAGCTGTAAGGACCTCTGTATTGCTGCAGTGAGGCAATTGCATCAAAACATGTAATTTACCCAACTCTAACTGGTCTCTAAACCACTAAAACTCTTCTAATCAGCTCTAAACTGCCACTAAATGGCTCTGAACATCTCTAACGATTTATTAGCACCTTTAAAATGCCTTTAAACTTCCTATAAAGAGCTCTAAAGATCTGAAAAATAACTCCAAATTTCTCCAAAACTCCTCAAAAGCACACTGAGCAGTTCTGAGTTGCTGTAATATCCCTTTAAAGAGTACTAGGGTCCTCTAAACTGCACTAACATTTTTCTAAACCTCCTCTAAGCAGCTTTCAGATTAATCTGATCTTATCTAGAACTCCTCTATATTGATCTGAAGATCCCTGACTTTCCTTTAGGCCTCTAAGGACCTCTAAACTCCTTGAAGATGCTCTGAGGTGCTCTAAACCCCTCTAAAATACCACCAGACAGCTACAAAACACCTCTGATGAGCTCTTAAAGAGCTATTATTACACTCCCTAAATTACACCTTTTGAAATTATTTAACGGATTCTAAAACACTCTAGGGTGCTGCTAAACCAGTCTGAACTTCTTTAAACAGCTCCAGAATACCTCTAAAATGCACTACACTGCTCTAAAACACATCTAAACGGCTCTAAAACTCTTCTAGTCAGCTATAAACAATGGTGAGAAGCTATGAATTCCTCTAAAATCCCTCCTCTGAAAATCCTCTAAACAACACTAATATCTAAAATTCCTCCACGCTGCTTTAAGCAGCAGTAAAATGCTTCAAAATAGGTCTCAACCCTCTCTCAGTCTCCTTGCAACTGCTCTAGAACTCATTTCTGCAGTTCTGAAATGCCTGTTTAGAAAAACAGTGCTAAAACTTCTCTGAAGTCCTCTAAAACCGCTCTGAACAGCAGTAACCAGCTCCACACCACTCAAAACTGATCTAACTCCTCTAAAGCCCCTATAAACAGTTCTAAGCAGCTCTAAAGTCATGTAGAGTGTGCCAAAACTCCTGTAAAGCACTCTAAACAACTGTGAACTCCTTTACCTTTTCTAAACCTCTTCTAAAAACCTCAGAGCACCTCTAAACTGATCTAAAGCTCCTCTATGTGCTATAAGCAGCACTAATGTGTCTCTAAATACATCTAAAATGCCTCTAAATCTCTACTGTACAACTCTAAACTCCTCTACACAGCTCTAAAATTCCTCTAAAGAGCTCTAGGCAGCTCTAAAACCCTTCTAGACCAATCTGTAACTCCTACAAACTGTTAAGCATCTCTAAACCACTTCAAGCTCCTGAACAGCTTCTCTCGTATGCTGTCAACAGCACGAAGTAGCTCTAAAACTCTCTTAAAATACTCAAAAATCTTCTGAACTTTCTCTCAATGGCTCCACAGAGCACTGAATTGTCACTGAACCTCCGAAAATACACTGTTCTTCTGGGGTCAGTACTGCTTAACCTCTTCATTAATGACCTGAATGATGGAGCAGAAAGCACCCTCAGCAAGTTTGCAGAGGGACCTTGACAGGCTGGAGAAATGGACTGACAGGAACCTCATGAACTTCAGCAAAGGGAAGTGCAATGTCCTGCAGCAGGGGAGGAATAAGCCCATGCACCAGTACAGACTGGGGGCCACCCAGCTGGAAAGCAGCTTGGCTGAAAAGGACCTGGGGGTCCTGGTGGACAAGCAGAACATGAGCCAGCAGTGTGACCGGAACATAAGCCAGCAGTGTGACCCTGCAGTATCCTGCATTAGAAAAAGAGTTGCTGGCAGATCAATGGAGGTCATCCTTCCCCTCTGCTCAGCACTGGTGAGACGCATCTGGAGTGTTGGGCTCCCCAGTAAAGGGAACACAGGGACCTCCTAGAGTGAGTCCAGTGAAGGGCCTCAAAGATGATCACGGGATTGGAGAATCTGTATTACAAGGAGAGACTGAGAGAGCTGGGACTGTTCAGCCTGGAAAAAGAGAAATTACCCATAGGGATGGAAGAGCATAGAGAAGAGGGGATTTCTGGAAGAACGAGATGAGCCTCCAAGAAAAGAAAAATACATGTGCTTTGTGAGAACCTGTTAATAAAGCCAAACCCCAGAGAAAGTGATCTCTTGCATGTGGACAGTCCACAGTGAGCATATTTTGGAGTGGAGGAGGAATACCGCAAACCCAAACTCCTGAGATTATTATGTGACTACATGAAAAATGTGCTCCCAGAGCACACAACAACGAGGGATTGTTCTCTCTACTGCAGGCACTGGATGCTCTCAAAACACGCTCTAATGGAAGATCTGAAAGTACACACTGAAGGCAGAATGTTTTATTGCACCTGTTATGGATGGGTGTAGAAACCCAAATGATTTTCCCCAGGAAGCAAACCAAGCCTACAGGAGAGCTGCAAGCTGCAGGCATTGGGGCATACTCAAGAAAGACTGATTGTCTTTTTGGTGGTCAGTCCATATGCACTTATAAGGCCTTTCATAGGCTCTTTTCTTCTGTTAAATGTCAGCCACAAATCTCTGCAGGGCAGTAACTTGTTTTAGGAGGTGCTGGTGGTCAGATCTGCTGGGAGAAGATTTGAATTCTGGACCAGCTGCAGTTCTGGTGGGACGGAAGAGGATTGTGCTGTGCACAGCTGCATTTCTGCCATGGGGCCCAGCCTCTGCACCGCACATGGTACACATCTGGTAAAACCACATGCTGGAGAAGAAAACAAGAGCCACATGGGCTGCATGTGGGGAGCGGCTGTAACTCCCCGTGAGCCATTGTTTTCTGCTTGCTTGTCATAGCCTGACCTCCATTTGCCTTTCTTACACAGAGGCATGGATCTTCCCAGCTCCCCACGCCACGTGTCCCGGAGCCAAGGCACTGCACTGGCGTTGGGAGTGCTTCCAGCACCACACTGGAACAAGGAGGAGGCAGGAGATGAGGAAATGTGGAGCCAAGGCCTTTCCTGGTTGAAGTACTCATGCTGTCCTGCAGCCCCCATGTGAGCTGCACCCAGGTCGTGGTGGTGTACATAGTGGGGCCGAAATGAAGCAAGTCTTCCCCTTAACGACTCATTTCTATGCATCTCATGGCTTTTGGTTTATGAATGTTTTTTCTATTCATACGTTATATGTTTATATGTTATTGGTTTGGGTTTGCTTCCTCACTTTCCACAACGAGCCTTTCAAAATCCTTCTCATTCAATGGCACTGAACTGCAGTAAATCTGTTTTTCTTTCTATTGCACCATGCAGTTGATGTGTCTCTCTAGCAGACAGCTCCAGGGGGCATTTTGACGCTGCTAATCACAGCAGTAGCACGAACTTCTCTCTCTCGTGCAGCTCCAGAGTGCATGGGTAGACAACCTAAGGGGAGCTGATCTTGTCTGAGTTGCTTCGGCTGCAGACCTGCTTCTAGTTTGCAGCCAGGCTTCCCTCATTATTTTCAGCCATCAACAAAAAGATATCCCCTTTTTTCTACAGCGACTTGTGCCTGGGCAGAAATCCCTGCTGAAATTCATAGAGCTGTTAACCAAACACTCCCAAATCTCCAGCCCTGGTGCTCTGCAGTGCTGCTGTCCACCTTGGCTACAATAGGTACCATTCCTCCCGCAAAGCGTGCGGTAGAGCCCGGTGTCTCCCCAGACGTGCAGCCAGCTCTCTTATCTCTCCACCCCGTTATTTATTTTTAAAAGTTTATTTCTTTATTTTTAAAAGTTTGCAAATAATGATTAATAATCCAAACAAGCCTTAGCTGTTAAGCATGACTTGTAGAGCGTGGGTTATGGGAGACTGCGGGGATTGTGGCTGTTTTAATGGGTCATCAAAGGAAGCCGGGGAGAAAGCAGACGAGGGGCGATGAAGAGGTGCTTTCTGTGGAGCGCTGTCAGGCGGTGCCGGCTTCCTCCGCCCTTCAGGCCGGCGGCAGTCCGCTCCTGCCCGCTCAGCGGTTTTTTACATCGCAGCATTTAAACGTGCGTGGAGCTGGCTAGAGCAGAGCCGGGGCGGCCCGCTCAGTCCGCGGCAGCCA